ATACCATCCAAACAAAGCACGTCTTTGATCTGTCGTATTGCAAATAACGCTTGATTCAATTTTTAGCAGACGTGATCGATATGGGGCTTCCAAGACAAGGTTTTATCTATAAACATACCAAGGAGTTTGGCTGTTTCCGAGAGTTGGATGTTGTTGAGTTTCACTGTTTTCCTTAACGTGAAGCTTGAATGTACTGTTTTACTTTCATTCAATTTTAGTTGATTTCTATCACACCAAGAAATCATGTCATCCATGACTGAATTAATGTTGTTTTCTAGCTCCTCCACAGTATTTCCGGAAACTGTTATGGTAGGAATAATAGGATAATAAAACCTTGTTTTATATACTTCGGAAGATCATTAATATAGATAGAGAAAAGCAGTGAGCCTAAAATGGGCCCCTGTGGTACCCCAAGGATAATATCTTGAATAACAGATACTGCATTATTCACAGTCATTACCATGCATCAACGCTGGCATTCCTCAATGATCCATATTACCTCCAATCCTCTTTTTATTGTATATCAACGACTTATTGAAAAAAAAAAAACAAGAATCCAATATATTGCTTTGCTGACGACAGAACACTTCTCGTCTCGTCATTTCATTCGGATTCCAGGATAAATACTGCGGCTGCATATCTTCACCGGCAGCAGGATGTTGCATATGTCAGTGAGGATCTAGAAATAGTTTCGAATTGGGGTGAAAGTAACCAAGTTCAATTCAATGCCACAAAAACCCAGACATCGGATATAATGTCAGGTTAGGCAATTCCGCTTTCTGCTTCGACAAGTTTGTTGAAATTTGAAAATTGGACACCAATATGTCTTGGCACAATCATGTTGGTGGAATTGCAAAGGCTGCTTCTAAAAATACTGTTCCGAACCAGAAAATGGTACAAACCTCAGCAGTTTTTTTTAATGCTTTAAAAAGCTCAGATGAGACCTTCTTTGGAGTAGTGTATGGAGCTCCGCCCCTAAGCTGGAGCTGCTGGATTCCATTTAGAAACCTTGATAGTCTGGAACATCGAAGAAAGGTTGGGGGTTTGTTTCTCATTTCTAGATACTTTCATTAAAGATACTGGCATATTACATATTATTTCACCACTATCTCAGCAATCTCCGGTATTGATCTGATGAAAAAATAATGAAATCGTTGGGCGTATTGTACATATACTTTAGGATTTGCTACGACCAACGATTTTATAATTTTTTCATTCGATCAATACCGTAGATTAGAGAGTGGTGTGATGACTGCTACCTAGGACCTTCCCAATTATTTTTTAGTATTTATTCCATTATCTACATCATTATTATCTTTGTTATTTTTCAATAAAAACGTTCAACATACTTTTTTTTACTTATTTTGTTGTGCATTTGATTATAAATTGTGACGAAATCCTAACTACTGAAAAGTTGAATGGAAGAACATGCGTTTTGAGTAGAGCAGATTTCTTCATCGAGTTTAAATTTTTTACGAATCCACAAATGAAGAAAAAACTTCTCCTGTAAATAGGTTAAAGACATGTAAGACGTCCGTATTTCCTCTCCAACCTCAATAGTGGGGGAGAAAATGTGTTGCGAGCCTTTGGGTGTCATCCTTTTGATTAAGACCTACTCTATTATCTCGCGGTACACTGAGAAATACTTAAGGAACTAATGGGATAATGCGAATAGAACTTTGTTTTGTCAAGTCGGAATTGGAGTTATCGCTTGCGGCGAAGCAGAATTGAACTTCCAAATTAGAATCTGGAAAGCGTTAGAAACCAATTTGGGAACGTTATGTAGTAAATAAATGAGTCCGCGTGTGGTAATTCAGTCGCAAAATGGAAAATTTGAATCCAGTATTTAGTTACAATACTAAATAACGCATAGTTGGAAACTGACATTTCACGAATATGGAAAGGAATTTGTGTCTTGCTAAACAGAATCCACGAATTAAAAAAAAAAATGTTTCCCAAGCGAAACATGTCGAAACTGTCCCGTTAAATAATCACTATTAGAAATTGAATTTCGTTATCAGTAGATTTCAACAGTAGAATCGAGTGCCAAATCAGTAGACCGCCCCTAAATACCCTGAAAGTGTTGGATTCCATCCAGAAAAGAGCCATCCGCCTGATTGGAGACAATTGCAACCTTGATAGTCTGGAACATCGAAGAAAGGTTGGAGATTTGTCTTTCTTCTATAGATATTTTCACGGAAAGTGTTCAAGTTACTTGGCACATTTGATTCCACCAAGAACGGTACATATCAGAAAAACGCGACGGACTGTGGCTGCTCATCGTTTTGGGGTTCAACTCAGTACACCTCGAACTTCACTGTTTAAGAACTCTTTCATTCAGAGAACTGCGTTTATATGGAATGAACTTTCTGATAACGTTTTTCCAAATGAATTTAATCTCCAGTGATTCAAATCCAACGTGAATCACTACTTTCGCACAGGCACCGCTCTTAGAGCGCCTTAAGGATTTTCCTGTAGTGCTTGTGTGTTGTCCTTGAAAGAAAGACCTGGCAACAGTGAGCACATCACTACTCTCGTGCGATTTTTTCCTCATCTGCAGTGAGTGCATTGATACGCAATCTTCACAAGTCTTATTGAATTACGACTTTCTTGCGAAAAATTTTGTCTTTTCTCGAGCGGCATTATAAATACTCTCTGGTGAACAGGCTGAGTGGTGAACCAAAGTCAACACAAAATTCGAACATCTACATAAATCCCGAAACTCTTAATGAATTTTATTGCACCATTGCACAAATATCAACATCAACCATAGAACCTCAATCAGATCCCATCCAATAATTTTCACTTTACGGATACAGACTTATCAGAATTGAAAGTAATACTCTGGGACATGAAAAACAAAAATTCTACTAGCGTTGATGGAATTTCTGTAAAACTTCTACTGAACCTTCCAGATGTTGCTCTAGATTCACTGGCCAGAGCTATCAATATATCGTTTGCTCTTGGAAAATTTCCCACAAGTCTCAAAACAGCTTTTGTATTTTCACTATTCAAAGGTGGTGATTCAGAAGATCCAAGCAATTTCAGGCTTGTCTAGCACTTAGCGGTGCCATCAGTTCCACACCGTCAGCGGCCATGGAGATCCTTCCAGATCTACATCCTTTCCACATTTTTCTGGAGAGAGAGGCTAGATGGACTGCATATAGACTTGTGCACATTGCCAATTGCATGTATCAATTTAACGTAGAGTGCAACAGACTTTTGGTTGATACTGGAAATCACAGCATTTTGGAAATGACTTCTGACATCATGCCTTCAACTGTCAACTACGAACTGCCTTATAAAGTACTGTTTCCGAGTAGAGAGGACTGGATCCTCCGGAAGAAGGAAATATTGAGAGCAGATAGTTGTTGGTTCACAGATGGATCAAAAACACCTTCAGGTTCTGGTGCAGGTGTTTTCAGTCGCAGAACCAGGACAGAGATATCAACCTGCCTAGGAACCTATGCGACTGTATTACAAGCGAAAATTTACTCTATTGAATTGTGTGCGGAGAGATTGGAAAAATCCAACCTCATACACAAGTCAATCAAAATATTCTCGGACAGTCAAGCGGCGTTGGACGCTGCTGGCTATCGAGCAATGTCTAAATTCAGTGTCATTGCTTTTCGAGTTTGAAATACGTGGATTTTTGGAATTTCTTCCTGACGTTTCGCTGGAGCGAGTGGCTAGCTTCTTCAGAGGTTTAACCATCATGGCTTGCTGTCCGATGACTTCCTTTTAGGCTTCGTAAAGCGTATTTATGCCTTGTCAGGTAATCAGTTGTATTTGTATCTGTATTTGTATCTGTACTCGTACCTGCACTTATACCTGTACTCGTACCTGCACTTGACCCTGGAACATTAGCAATCTTGCTGCCTGTTGTCCTGTTCGATATTCTAGAATTCCTCAGACTGGGGTTCCATATTCGATTGAGGTTCACCGCTTCTTCTTTTCGGATGAAATTCTCCATGTGTTTGTGGATCTCTATTGCCTCCCGTACCAGTCGGCTATGGTATCCCTGGTTGGGGGCAATTAGTTCTGTGTTTTCAAACAAGATTATGTGGCCTCCTTCACTAAGTGCGTGTTCTGCCACAGCTGCCTTGTCCGTTTGGCCTAGTCTGCAGTTCTTTTTATGCTCTTTTAGTATTGTTCCCATGGATCGTGGTGGTTTCGATATATACCTTTCCACAAGTGCACGGTATGCGATAGACCCGCGCTGCTGATAATGGGTCTCGTTTGTCTTTAGGCGACCTGAGACTATGTTGTATCTTCCTCGTGGATTTGAAGACTGTTTCGATGTCGTGTTTGCTCAATAGTTTTCCAATTCTGTGACCAATTCCTTGACCCTAGGGATAAACGGTAGATATGCGCGTGCAACCATCTGATCCATTTTGGGACAGAATCAGGTTTTTCTAGAGCTCACCATACAAACTAATCAGCTTCGTTAGGAAGTTGGGTTTAATTGGTCGAGTTTGAATAGGTGTGAGCCACAATAAACCCTTGCGGGTTACGGTGGTGGGCCGAATATATCCACTTACTTTAAACCTAACCAAACCTAACCTAACAGTTCGTTGAATGTAGTGCGTTAGTCAGTTGCTGTTTGAAATATTACTAAAATATATCCTACAAAAAAGTCACGTGCTTCTGGAATCTAAGGTCACAGTCTAGCCAGAATATATCGATAATGTCTCACACACAAGCCTTATGTTTATCAACCCTTCAATTATGACTTGTTACTTACCTACTATCCAACCTGAGCTTGTATTTGAATTTTGCAAGACTATGATTAACGTTCTAGTTATTTGTTGACAGATATTTCAATACGTAATACCTTTGAATGAAGTGCTTTATTTTTTCATGCGCACTCCTTTGATTAAAATCTGTTTACGTAAATGAAATTACATTCCACTTGAATAAACTGTAACGTACTTATTGAAGAGGGTGTTTGTGATAGAGATATTCATCATCTTCATGACAACTGATTTTATCAAACTATACATATAATGGAAACATTGCTCATAATCGACAAAAATATTTTGAGACATCACCAAAATGGAAGGTGTGCAATATTTTTTTATATGCTGTTTACTATTGTTCAGTGAAAGGTAAGTTTTATTGTTTCCATAATAGTAAACTCTCTATTGAATAATATTTTTCACAAATCCCGTTGTCTTTATGTTTGCCCATCAGAGATATCAATCAGAAATTATGAAGATGTTAGGATAATCGATTCTCGCAATCATTGATTTTGAAAAAAAGGAGACTCCAATTTCTCAGTTTTTTTTTTCTAAAATCTCCTGCATGTAATATGTTCATAATACCAGGAGATATTGGAATGATTTACAGACAACTTTGAAACATTTTAATGCTTGCTATGAAAACAATATCTACCAATATTCAAATAATGAACAGTTTGATAATAAATGAAATAATAGATATTAGTTACATAACAAAAAAATGAATGAATGGAAAACCCACTGAAACCAATAGAAAAATTAATCCAATAAAAACTACACTGACTGTGAAAGTAAAAAATTACATCAATATTCAATTGATTATCATTGATTATCATCATGAATGAGAAACGTAAGAAAATTCTGCATGGAAATTTTATGTCTCTTCAATTTTATCTGGGTTCGTTCAGATAACGAAACAAATATCGTAATAGATACATCATTCAAATCATATGAAACAACTTTTTGAAACAACAAGATATTTACAGACAGCAAGATTACTTATACAGAGTATTTCCTAATAATGTTACGAAACGTCGGAGATTATTTCGTTAGGTCGTAAAAAAATCGAACCAGAAACTATAACAACGCCTGAAATAGAAGAAGCTATACTTGATGCCAAATAGTACCAGGAAGAATGCACTGCAGCTGAAAGTCAGCCGAAAAACCGTATGAACATTTCTAAAAAGAAACCTCCTATACTCATATCTCATACAGTGGATCCAAGCTCTACTGCCTCGGGATTTTCACCCATGATTAATACTTTGTAGGTGGTTGAAGAAGAAGTGCCGGTACTTATAAGAGGTTTATGCACGACGGGGCTCCAGCTCATTTTAGTATTCTTGCTCGTCAGCATGTCGACATCACCTACCCCAATCGCTGGATTGGACATGCTGGACCTCATTGGCCAGGTCGTAGTCCTGATATGACTCCTCTAGACTTCCATTGATGAGGTCATCAGGCTCTAGTTTATTAAACTCCTGTACTAGATGTGAATGACTTGAGGAATCGAATAATTGACAATTGCAATGTCATAAGGAATACTCCAGGTATTTTTGAAAGTGTCAGACAATCAATGACGAATCGATTACAGTCGTGTATTTTATGAGAAGGTGGGCATTTTGCTCATTTACTTCAAGGTCAACATTGTTCATTACCTATATTCTTTTGGTTTTTATTTTATGTTGTCCATGGATAGTTTAAAATGATTTTTTTTTTCTAGAAAACGAAGCTGGATATGAAGAAAACACAAGAGACGAAAATGTTGTATTTTCAGTTTCTTAATCTAATCTTAATCTCTGAGATGCGACTGGACCTGATAATTTCAATCTAGTTCGGAATAAATAAGCACCTTAATAGTTCAAATAACTTTAGCAAATTTCAATCAAATCGGTGTAAGGATATTTATGATATTCAATAAATCCTTTTTTTTACTTTAACGCCCTGTATGTGATAAACGAAGCAACTCCGGACATATTTTCATGAGAACTTTTTTTCTTGTAACGACCTAACGAATCACCCTCTGAAATTTGGTACCGTAGTTAGGAAACACCCGTCATCATCAAAAAAATTCGTCGCAAAGCATTTCTATCCACTGAAATAAAACACTTTGATCGCCAAAGCAAACTTCTGAAACATTTGCTTCATTCGTTACAGTCTCATGCAATGTCATATACAGACTGAGAACTGGAATACGGGTAAATTTGAAAATGTACTCATTAAATACACAGTTTTGCAGATGACGAGTTGAATACTCGAAGATTCCCTGAAAATTTCAAATTTGGTGTAGCGACCGCATCTTATCAAGTAGAAGGTAAATATACTATTAATTTCATCACATACGACACTACTCTTGATATTTTCAGGAGGATGGAACGCGAGCGATAAAAGTCCAAATATTTGGGATTACGCACTGCATAAAAATCCAGATCTAGTAGTAAACAGAGATAATGGAGATGTTGCTTGCGATTCCTATCATAAATATAAAGAAGATGTTGCTCTCCTGAAAGACCTCGGTGTAGACTTCTACAGGTTTTCTCTCTCGTGGTCAAGGATATTGCCAAACGGTAAATTAAAAACTTCCAGTGAAGTTTTCAGTTCCCTTCTATTTTATGAAACATTAGAAACCTGTACGAAAATGGTCACGTAATCAATTCTAAATGAGTGTAATTGTGAATCCAGCCTTTCATGAATGTATACATTATCGTTTTCATGAGGGTATTACGTGAATTTGATTTTCTTCTAACGAAATTAGAAGGCTAGAACTGATAAGCAAGCACACACTGAACACACTGTGCGATAGAGCGCAGGATGGGCTCAAATTATTAGAAACATGGTGTAAGGAACAATCCCAAGAAGACTGAGATGGTGCTTTTCACCAGGAAAAGAAGTTTATCGGGCTTTAAACCTCCCGAAATCTTCAAAAGCAAACTTAACTTCTCTGATGTGGTGAAATACCTTGGTACTATCCTCGACAGGAAGCTAACATGGAATTCACACCTACAGAGTAGAGCAAAAACAGCTTATGTGGCTAATGAGCAATGTCGGAAGACAGTGGGACGCACATGGGGTCTTTCACCCCGCGTGGTCACCTGGATCTACACCATTGTATGGGGATCAAAAGTTCTACAAGCAGCAGCCATCCAAAAATTATATCAAACTCAGCGATTGGCTTGTTTACACATCACAGGAGCCATGAGAACAACACCAACCGCGACAATGGAATTAATTACTGGTCTGACCCCTTTGGACCTGTACGTTAAGGACCATGTAGAAGTAGAAGCCTATGGTGAGAGGCGCCTACTACGCAACCTCTGCTGCAGACAACCAGGGATGCAATTGAACCCAGGTTTGGGGGCTAGTGGACACACATCTATGTAGGATGTGTGAACAAGAAGATGGAACTGTCAAGCATGTCCTATGCGAATGTCCGGAGTTATCGTCAATAAGAGAGTGTGTGTTTGGCGAGTCGTGGCCTACATCTGCTGATATAAAGGAGATGTCTCCCAGAGACTTGTCCACCTTTCTGGAAAGGACAAGATGGACGATGACCTAGGAGGACAACTCCTTGGGGGGATGTACAATGGGTCACATGTGGCCTAAGTGCTGTAGGCCTACACTCACCATCTCTACTCTAGAGATACAGATGATAAGAAATCAGTAATCACTCACTATTAAACGAGCCATTATTCTCTATTTTCTTCTAGGAATCGATGATAAAATAAGTGTCGATGGTGTGAACTACTACAAGAATTTAATCGCAGAGCTGCGAAATAATAACATCGAACCCTTGATAACGATCTACCACTGGGATCTTCCACAGATACTACAAGATGCTGGGGGTTGGACAAATGATAATATCGTCGATTGGTTTGTGGCATACGCCAACGTTTGCTTTAAAGAATTTGGAAACGACAATAAAAATTGGTTAGTATTCAATGAACCTAAACAAACATGTCAAATGGGTTACGGTACAGCTGAACATGCACCCTTCATCAACTCTTCCGGCGTAGGAGAATATGTCTGCGCTCATAACTTGTTGAAAGCGTACGCGAAAACATGGCACTTGTACAATGCAGTTTATAGGAACGTACAGGGAGGTGAGTTAAATAATCCTTTTTTTTAGATACGCTGCTGATGCAGCTTTCATTAGCATCTCTTTTACATAATAAATGACATGATACACGGAAGAGGTACCAGAGGTACCAGTCCACGGTACTTCTTCCAAAGAGAACACCCAAAACAAACCCTCCTTCCTTACACTGCTGCTGGTGTGTGGGAGTAGAGTTTGATGGAATAGAATACCTGCAGAAATGCAATTGAATTAACATGGAACGCAACAAATTTATTTGTAAGGTCAATTTTTGATTATTCTTTTTATCCAAAGTCGAACTTCATCTTAGTTATCAATACACATTAAAATAAGCTTGAAAACTTGAGTATGTATTTTTAAATGTTCACTGTCTTTATGACACTGTATTTTTCATTGCATTGATGTGAAGAGCAAGCATATGGAATATAAGAAATTTAATCTTACAAGTGTGATGATGCCTTACTCTTTTCTGAATTCAGAGTAAGATAACGGTACAAGTGCCACGACCAGCTGTAGATTCTGCGGAGACAAGAGCGTGGATCGTATCTTGACACTTTATACAGGCTCAATACTGGTTACCAAAACCAAGTGCTTAATTGGGCGCCATCTACAGAAGTTTATAGAAATAGGGTACTCTTTTCAACACTCGTTAATGTAAGGACCAACGTTGCTACAGAGGGATCTGATACATTTCCAGACTACCAATAAAATATGGGAAACGGTTCAATGTAGAAATTTAATGAATGATATTTTTTTATATAACAAGACAGATTCTTGAATGATGGAATCAGTATTTCGGTGGTTGAAGCATGAGTTCTTGTATCATGATTGCCTCTAGAGGAATGTTTAACAAATACAAATTCTTACTCAAGGGTTTAATGCATAAAACCTTAAAAACCCGGATGGAATTCCTATTTTCTGAAACCATCAAAGAAAATCCAAATGATTGACTAGTGATCTCCCACTCCGACTACTCTGTTGCGGATGACCCAGGATTCCGACAGTCTCCAGCAGCCAACCCTGAACAAGTCTTCAACGTTCTACCCAAATCTCACAATTTGTAGTACTTATAACAAACGATTTTGGTTTTATATTTCTTTCAGAAGCTTTTAACTATGGTATAGTTCACTCTTCTAAAAAATTATCCTAACTTGGTTCTCAGCCTATATTAAATTTGTGCTTTATTTCAACTCAACATAGAAATTTCACACCTTCAGGTCGCGTGGGTATAACCATTGACTCTTCATGGTTCGAACCTGCCACAGAGAGCCGTGAAGACATAGAAGCAGCAGAAAGAGGGTTGCATTTCACGGTGAGTTCTTTCAGAGTATTATAGGATTAGCTCATACATAAAATGCAATAACAAGTTATGATAGAAGTTCAGATTGATAAATCATTATCAGTAGATTAATAAATGAAACAGATAGTCACAATTTCGATATATTCGCTTCAAATCATCTAAAAGAACAATTCGTTCAGGCCATTCTCAACACCCTACACAGTAGGTTAATGGACTGACACCTATGAGAAATTAACTACTTCTCTGGCTAATACCACGAAGGGCGTTGGATTATATCCGACAGGTGTCAGTGCAGGATTCTTCACTGAAGTTATTCCTGCATATGCTGTTGGCGATACAACTGCCGTGAAAATACGTGAAAAAAATTCGCTTTAAATTGAAAGTTAAGATCTTACATTGAATATTATTTACTATAAATTCAACAACCGTCATTTTGTATAGATGAATTTCAATCCATAGTTACTGTGAACTCATAATATTAACGAACTGAAATTAAAATTTTCGCGCAATTTTAATTTTCAAACTTTTTCTAGATTTGCTCGAACTAGTGTCAGTGTATTTGAGAAACCGTTTCACGGAAAACACTATTTTTGAAGATCCTTGGCCATGCACGATGGCTTTCGAAAGCCATTTATCGCTTGAAAATGTTTCTGTTCCAGAAACAATTTTCTCTTAACAAAGTAGAAAGCTAAAGACTCTGTCATATCTGTAATTTTATGACATTATTGTTTGTATAATCATGGTATTGTGCCCCTTTGCCAATTCAAACTCCGCGACTAGATTTAGAATTAAAAAAAAACATGATTAACAATTTTGATAGAATTTCGCGTCGTGAATGATACTGCTGAACGAAGAGGAACAGGAACAATACTAATTGCTAGTTGAAGCAATGCATAGAAAGCGATTTCCGAATACTAATAGGCAAACATTATTGTAACTCAGAAATGAAAGTAATTCTGATGATTTATACTCGTACGCTGAAGTTCATATTCACAAAATAAAAATTATTAGCCTATAAATAACAATTTTATAACTTTACAGCGTCTATTGTAAATGATGATTACTGTTTGACTGAATATTTCCAATTTCAAAAACATTTACCTTTCCAGCTATACAACTCAAAAACTGTTGAGTGTTGGCTCAATATAATCGCTTGTAGCAAATTCAATTCCCTACAAAATCTGCACAAACATTTTTTCTTAAAGAAAACGTTAGTTACCGAAAATTCGAGTTGGAACGGAAGAAAACATTTCCGTGTTATTTATATGTGAAATCGAATTTTTGAAAGAACGAAGCCTCTAATTTTTTTCCAACGGGAGTAATTTTTTTATAAATTATCAGATTTTCAGGTAGTACCAAGGGAAAAAATACTGCCTGAGAATGAAACACCTGTATCTGTAGAGTAGGGAGTGTGAGTGTAGGCCCACAGCACTTAGGCCACATGTGACCCATTGTACATCCTCCCGAGGAGTTGCCCTCCTAGGTCATCGTCCATCCTGTCCTTTCCAAGAAGGTGGACAGGTCACTGGGAGACATCTCCTTTATATCGGCAGGTGTAGGCCAAGACTCGCCGAACACACACTCTCTTATTGACGATAACTCCGGACATTCGCATAGGACATGCTTGACAGTTCCATCTTCCTGTTCACACATCCTGCATAGAGGCATGTCCACTAGCCTCATATCGTGGATGTGTTTCCTTAGTAGACAGTGACCAGTCAGGAATCCTACTGTTAAGCGTAGATTTTTCCTGGTCATCGCCAGATATTTCTTCGGAACAATACTAGTTTGGCTAGTTCCGCAATTGTCGAAGTCATCAGGCCGTAGAGTCGGCAAAGCGATTATCTTTACTCCTGTCGTTCCCTTCAACCCACCTCAGGATAATGTTATTAACTACCGAGGCATCTTGGTGGCACTCTAGTACTAACCCTGAGGTAACACGTTGCCTGTTCAAGGCTAATATGGCTTGTCTGCTCTCAGTGCAGATTGTTGTTTTTGCCAGAAATTCCTTTCCTGGTTATTTCCTTGGTAGCGACTGAGATATCAGCCAGTTCTGTTTATGAAACACCTCAATATTCATATAATAATTTTCTACAAATATTTAAATTTATTATGGATTTTCATTGATCAATCAACAATTTTGATTGGATTTTTATTTATCATTTTCGTTAATGGATACATCAATAATTACTGTAGTTGATTGCAATACCAAGACAATAGGCTTATGGTATGAGAAATAAGATACATATGTTTCCGAATGAGAATTAGAAAGATATCTTGAGAACTTCAACGTATGCTAGTTTACCCTAATTCTTCAGAGCCTATTAGACCTAAATATGTGCTGGCACCCCTCTCCCTTCTACCTCAATCTTCACCAACTTATACCTATCTCTCAACTTGCGTTCGCCTCGCCCGTACACACTTTTCTTAACGCTCTTGTCAGGCACTCACCAGCTTACTCTTGCTTGGTACCAGAACAACTGGAGAGGGAACTAGAATACCTTGAAGGGACCTCGAGATCTAATGGATACAGTCCCTCCGAGATCAGAAAAGCCATGAAACCGAAGAGCACCACGGTTCAAAATGCGAAAAAGGATCAGATGGTTGCACGCTCATATCTACCGTTTATCCCTAGGGTCACTGGCAGAATTGGAAAACTACTGGATAAACACGACAACGAAACAGTCTTCAAACCCACGAGGAAGATACAACAAAGCCTCAGGTCGGCTAAAGACAAAAGAGACCCATTATCAGCAGCAGGGGTCTATCGCATACTGTGCACTTGTGGGAAGGTATATATCGGAACCACCAAACGATCCATGGGAACAAAACTGAAAGAGCATAAGAAGAACTGCAGACTACGCCAAACGGACAAGTCAGCTGTGGCAGAACACGCACTTAGTGAAGGAGACCACATAATTGTGTTTGAAAACACAAAACTAATTGCCCCCAACCAGGGATACCATAGCCGACTGGTATGGGAAGCAATAGAGATCCATAAACCCACGGAGAATTTCAACAGAAAGGAAGAAGCGGTGAACCTCAATCGAATATGGAACCCCATTTTAAGGAATTCGAGAATAACGAACAGAATGACGACAGGCGGCAAGATTGTTAATGTTCGAGGTTCAAGTACAGGTACAAGTACAGGTACAAATACAGGTACAAGTACAGGTACAACTACAGGTACGAGTGCAGGTACAAATACAATTGATTACCTGTCAAGGCATAAATGCCCTTTACGAAGCCAAAAAGTTTGTCATCGGACAGCAAGCCAAGATGGTTAAACCTCTGAAGAAGCTAGCCACTCGCGCCAGCGAAACGTCAGGAAGAAATTACAAAAATCCACGGCTTTCAAACTCGAAAAATAGTGACACCAGAAAAATGCCATCCATGTGATTGGAGTCGAGAACATCACTTGGATCACTGGAATCTCCCTCCTGCCTCAATCTTCACCAACTTATACCTACCTCTCAACCTGCGTTCGCCTCGCCCGTACATACTTTTCTTAACACTCTTGTCAGGCACTCCAGCTTACTCCCCAAGTCAAGCGCTCGTAAAAAGTTTTACTTCAACGTTCGCCTCACTAGATCACACTTTTCGTAACTCTCTTGTCAGGCACTCACCAGCTTACCATCCAAGTCAAGCGCGCGTAAAAAAGCTTCATTTAAAAAAAATTAAGTTTAGTGATATCGAATGAATAACGGAAAAGCAAAATCCGACTTGTGAAAAAACGAATTATTATCACTTGAAATGACAAATGATTTTGATGACGTGCTAGGAATTGCACGTTAAAACGTTAGACCTCGATAATTCATACTTAGGGTTGTCGTTCGTGAAGGGGGGTCGGTCAGCTGGTTACCAATTTAATAGGTTTTACAATTATTATTCAAAAATATCAAGAGGCATCACAAATACCAACAAAACAGTTATAGTAATGAAAAAGAGTATTATTCTCAATGATCTGTTTACGATTTTCAGTTCGGATTGTACGCCAACCCAATATTGAATAGAGACTATCCCGCAGTGATGAAATCGCTTATAGCAAAGCGCAGTAGCGAAGAAGGTTTGGTAAAGTCGCGTCTTCCAGCCTTCACCGAGGAGGAAATAGAATACATCAGTGGATCCTACGATTTTCTTGGCGTGAATACTTATACTTCGAATATGGCCAAGGCGGAAAATAATCCAGATCCAAGCCCAGGGTCCCATCAAGATGCTGAGATTGCTACCTGGCAGCCAGACGAGTGGGAAAGGACAAATTCAAGTTGGTTAAAAGTGAGTAAAAGCTTTTGATACTCTAGGTATGTTGGAAAATTTGAGTTTGGGAAGAAAAAATACTATGTATTTCTTGCAATGCTTGTGGCTGGTCGTCACTCCAGATGTGACAATTTTGCTTGTTAACGTATCCATTTAACTAGAAATGAGCGTCGTCGCTGAACACAATTTTTCGATAAAAATGTGGATCTTCCTCCAACTTTGCCAGCGCCCATTCACCAAATGTTAGACGTTGTGGGAGGTCGCGTGGCTTCAGTTTTCGTACCAGCTGTATCTTATAAGGTTTTACACACAAATCCTTTCGCAGAATTTTCCACGTAGTTGTGTAACAGAGGCCCAATTGCTGCGAACGGCGGCGAATCGACATTTCACGATCATCACGAACACTGGCGGATACAGCCGCAATATTTTCTTCGGACCTCACTATACGTATGCGTGTTAGTGGTTTGATGTCCAATAATGTGAACTGGGTTCGAAATTTAGTCACAAGCTTCTGAATAGCTCCCTCAGTAGGCCGACGAAACTGCCCACCGAGCATGAATTTTGATGATAAAATTCAATAATTTGCAAGCGTTGTTCATTCGTAAGTCGATTCATGGTTCAATTATAGACCGAACTTAACAAGTTTGACAATGACACAAGACACGATTCACGCGTGATCTGTCAAAAACAGTATTGCCAAAAAGATACCAGCAAAAAAATCACTCATTATTATTGTGTTTCATTCATCATTTCTGCTGTCAATAAAATGTTCATTCAATCATGATTTTTCGTCTCTGTTCATGATTTCAAGTATCTCCGAGAATATTTTATTCCTTTTAAACTTCAGGTGACTCCTTGGGGAGCAAGAAAACTTTTGAATTGGATTAAAAATACTTATGGAAATCCCGAAATTATAATAACAGAAAATGGACTTTCTGATGACGACTCGACCTTGGAGGACGATAACAGAATTCGATTCTACCAGGTAACAATTGATTTCGTGATGAAACGTTTATAACCATGAACTTGAGGAAAATGATCACAAAGATTTAAATATATGTGCGAACCATTGTATGGTTAACAACAAGTCTCACTTCAATCGATTTCATAGTAACAAATGTCAAAAGACTTTTTCTAAGAGAACCAACCATTTTAATTTTTTTGAGATTTGCTACACTTAAGTATTATGGTTATGCATTTGGAATGTTTTTCAAAATGTAAATTTTGTAATTTATTTGAAATACTTTTTTGAATGCAAAATGGAATTGTTGAAATTTTCAATTAACGTTTTCCACTCTTTGAAAAACCTATTTAAAAAATCATATTTTGAATTTCGTATTTATATACTTTTTATTAAAAACCATTTTATATTTTTGCATTTTGCATTTAATTAATTTCAATAAATTAATCTGCACATCTGTAATTATATGTACCAAAATTTTTCAGTCCTATTTGAGTAATATTCATGATGCAATGGAGTTAGATGGGGTCAACGTAACTGGTTACACAGCATGGAGTTTTATGGATAATTTCGAATGGACTAAGGGATATTCGTAAGTAATTTTGATGTAAAATTTTTCCTAATTCAGCTTATAAAGTGAATTCAATTGAAAAAATATACCAGGCTTGACAACCAAAACATCATGCTAGTTGCTGTCATTGCTGAATAAGAAAGATTTCGTTGAAAAATGGAAGTTTCTCTACAACATTTTGAGGTCTTGATTACCATTAATATAAAAATACAGAACCAATTTCAATTTGAATTCTTTTCATTAATAAATTATACTATTATATTTTTTAGTACCACTTATTAGTACCAATTTGACCAATAGAAGCTTGGAATAGGTTTTGTAAATTCTTTTTAGTTCTTGCTTTTTTATTTTCAGGGAGAGATTTGGAATTTATCATGTGGACTTTAGTAGCCCAAACAGAACCAGGATCAAGAAGAAGTCAGCGACGTGGTACCAAAATTTAATCAAAACTAAATGTATTGTAGATGAATGTATAGACTAAAAATTGGATGTAAAACAACTTATTTGAGAAGGATTAAAAAATATAAACAATCTACTGTACACTAGAGTTCCAATGGTGGATTTCAAGTAATAGATGATTGCTTCACTGCTTGAAGTATGAAATGAGTCAACATACTGTTTTGGTTGCCCCCACTACATACGCCACTGCATACTCGATTTCAGACATACATCCTATAAACCATTTGTACACTGAGAAAAACCCAAGAAATCAATAATACAAATCAACCAAATTCCAACCGATTACAAAAGTGGAACTTTATCAGTTTTTTTATATCGACCTTTCTTGGGTAATTGTTACCTTCCACAATCTGAAAAATATAAAAATTATAATGGAGAACTTTATACAAAAAAGGTCGATATAAAAAAACTGATTTTTTTCCTCCACAAAAAATGACTTTCGTTGGAACTTTATGTAGAGCATAAAATTAATAAAAGCCAGTGGGGAATATATCTTGTATCTGTGATGGATGTTGCCAATCAAAACTTGGCCACATCACCTTGTAGGGCAGGAGATCTCAATTTCATTCACGTCGCTGTTTAGTGCGCCGTAGTTCCATGGTTCGACTTTGGGTTTCCATTCTGTCAGTTCCACCCACTCAACAATATGTTCTTGAAGTATTGTTTCAAGTCGGTATAAGGGCTCTACATTGCTGTATCGCTTTCCGGATATGAAAGTCAACCCTCTAGTTTCCCGTAATCCCCACATGCGAAAGGACCCAAAGTTAGATGATTTTCTTGTTGAAAGTTTGGAGTTCATAAAATATATTCCAATTAGGTGTTAAATACGATTTGTTGAAGGAGTTTTTACTCCTGACTCAGCATAGCGGAGGGCTTGAAGGGAGGCGAATAATTCTCCAGTTGATATTGTTGCTGTTTCTGGAAGATTAAAGGTCAATGCAACAATGTCAGCCACTACTGCAGCTCCTACTCTGAGATGAGTTTTGGATGAGTCTGCGTATATTTCTTCAGGTTGGTCGTTTTGGTCAAGGATTTGTTAAAAATGCTGTTTGAAGTTTGTTTTTATTTGTATGGTGTTTGGGAAACTGGGATGGGAGAGTGTTTATGATAGAAGTGCCCTTCTTATTTTTGTATTCATGAATTCAAGGAAGGGATTTAAACCCAGGACTCTGCTAAACAAATCACGTGTTTCACCATTTTTTTTCACAAAGATGTGTATTATCTATTGTGAAATAAAACTATTGGAATATAATTCCTACCATTGCATTATCAAGTGACAATTTTGGGAACATTCGTTTTCAATTTCCATGGTTTTCATTTTGAAACGAATTGTTAGTTCACTGACTAGGTGTTGGAGTTTGAGAACGTCTTAGTTGTGAATGATAATATATTATCACAACACAACACAACAAAGTTTTTGTTTCGGGGTTGAAATTAGATGATTTTAATGTATTTCCACGTGTTAAAACCGAAAGTGACCATAAAAATTATATATTAGCTCTTGTTTTCAAGATATAGTATCATTATATTATATATATGTATATTGAGTTTTCAACAAATGAAATATTTCATCACCAACAGTTGGTACACATGTTTGTTTACATAACACCCCTCTCNCAATGCTTGCAGACTACTGCTGGTCTGTGTGTAGGGATGCTCCAGAAGTGTTTTATAAAAGACAAGCTAAACGACAGCGATCTTACAATGAATCGGATGAACTTAATTGAAATTTGGTGGTACAAACTTCTTTTATTTGTCAAAACACTAAGAATAATGTTTTTTTTTTATTAATTTTGTACTTAAAATATTCTAAAAGAAACATAACAATATTGTTTTATGTACTTTCACTTTTCACGTATAGTATAACTACTCTTTGAGATTAAGTACTGTGTATCTCAAAAACCAGAGTTAATAAAAATTTTTCATTGTTATTTTCGTTTTTATCACCCCAAAATTAGTAGAAATTGACTAATTTAGTGTAGGAAACATTCAAAAAATATTTTTTTGTTGTGTTGTGATAATTCAAACACGACTGTATAGGAATCACCCAACAAGAAATGGTCAATTGATTGACGCTTTTTCGATAGTTATAGAAAAAGATATGCTGAAACATTGTGAACTATGAAATGGTGATTATCAAAATGAAACTTATCTATAGCTATAACTTTTATAATGAAAGAGACGTGCCGCAAATATTTATTGAACACCAATGAATTCATCGTTCAAAGATAAACCGATAACAATAACAACAGCTATCATACCATTCCGGATATCAAAATGGCCATACTAAAATATATATTGCTAATAAAAACTTTTCAATTTATAATAACGATATGATCGAACTATTTTCAACGACAATTTCTGAGAATGATAGAGCTCAACTCTTGATGGAAAAATCTTTTTGAGAATCTACTAGTCTATAGCTGGAAAGATTAGAATATGAAAACTCGTCGAACTACATGCAGAACAACTACTGCTTTTTCTTTCAGATACGATCTGAAACACATCAATTTCAGGAAAATAACGTACTTTTTGTAAACTGAATTAGACAGAAGTCGTAAAGCGAATTGAAACAAACCACATTATTTTACAAACGTTACACAAGTTCCGTTAAGAATATACGGTGAATGTTCAACATTTGCGAGCCAAGTACATTCAATTAGTAATTTTTTTATGTTGGTGTAGACTCATTCCGAAAACATGTTCACAGTTTAAGCTGTTTAGCAAGTATATTTTGTTGGTGAGAGGTATAAAAGTTCGAAGTGATTTGCGTGTTCTGCGATTTTCTGCTATAGAAAAAAAATGGATCAAGAAACTTTCATCAAATTTTGTGTTAGAAAGGGATTGCAGTGCTCAAAAAAACACTTGAAATATTGACAGTGGCATACCATGATTGTACTCTACGAGTCAGAAAAAATGTTTACAGGAGGTACAAACTTCTCACTGAAGGTCGAGAAGACGTGGGTGGACTCCCCAGCACATCAACAACCGATTAAAATGTTGATAAAGTAAATAAAATTGTGATGAAAAGTCGTTAAATCACTATTAGAGAAATTACTTAGGATGTCGGCATAGCAGTTGGCTCATGCTATGCAATTTTTTCGGAAATTTTCGGCATGAAGCGTGTGGCAGCAAAGATCATTCCAAAATTGATGAATTTAAGCCAAAAAAACCGTCGCATGAGCATCGTTCAGAAATTGTTGAACGACGTCAACGGCTATCCATATTTGCTCAACAGGGATATATGTTTATGACATCGAAATCGAAGTCCAATAGTCTCAATGGAAGAGCCCAGATGAGCCAAGAACAAAAAAGCACGCCAAGTTCGATCAAATATCAAGGTTTTGCTGCTCATTGTTCTATTATTGCGAATCCCGTGGCTTAGTGAAACAGGAGATCTAGCCATATTGTCGTACGATTGTTGTGATCATGTTCAGCAAAAGTTCCTACTCTTCAATAAAAATGTTAAAAGTGAACAAATATCCATTTTATCGCCTGCGCTTTTCAATTAATCGTTACTGAAGGATTAAAAACTCACCCAGCCATTAACTTCGGTGCGGCAGAATACAATTCGTTATTCAAATAATTACAGGAAAGTACTTACACGTGCAAACTGCTTTTTTTCTCCCTCTTCTTAGTGCACTTCTTATCGAGACTTGAAAATATATATAGCTCAAACTTCCATGTTTCTGAAATAGTGTTGCAATCATGACCGCCATACGGGCTACTAATTTATTCATAGTATGTTTATGTTTGACTGGGAAAATGTAAGTATGAAAATTTATCAATACTGTCATTTATTGATTTTTCATAACAATGTTTGGTTTTGTAGTGCTCATTTACTTTTTCGATACGTCAAAATAGAACCAATCTTCCAGCAAGTTTAGAGCCGCTTTGATAAGGAAATTACCTTACCAGAAGGGAAAATTAAAAATTCGTTCCCAGAAAAAGTTTTTCTTTACTTTTTTCCAATTCGAATAAATTAGGTTGTATGATGTATAAATACACATAACGGCGTAGTCCATCACGGGTAGTATTACATGCTACAGTGTCATCCCAGCTGTACATCCGTTTGTCTTTGACATTATCACGACGTTTCTATGAGGTCCCCCTTGCCAATAAAAGAATAAGTGACTGTAATAATTATTATTTGATTCTTTTCTTCTGGCATGAAACATCAGACCTCTACAATCTCAGTAAAAATTTCCAATAATTTTGTCTCTTAGAAATGTTTCTCCTTGATTTTAAAATATGGCAAAGTCAGATTTATCATTTTATTTATGTTTTTTCTATATTCATATAAATCCATTTTTTTCATTCATCCTCACGATAGTGAGTAAGAAATAGTAAGTATCAAATAATCTGCAATCACTCATTTAGTCGTATATATTACAACTGTCTTGAAGAAAACAATAAACAAGGAAGGAAACATACGAAAAACAGTTACTACTCTTCTCTCTTCCTGTTGTTGACAAAATTACATCGGAATTATTTTTTACTAGACCATCATTGTGAAGCTATTCCAGGCATTTATAGTTTTTCACTTTCCTCAAATTGAAAATTATGAAATATTTCAAATCACTGAATTTGTTACCGAGTTTGAATCAAATTCAGATAGATATTTATCCAGTTTGTCAGTAGTTCCTTATTAATCATTTGTCGCCCATTTTTGGGTGTTTTCATATTTCACAACTTTACAATCCAAACGTTTTGGAGGCTACCTCAGTCTTCAGAATTGAAAAAAATTTAATTAAATTTGTAGTTTTTCCCTTAGATTCGTATTATTTTCAAAAGTCTTTGAATTATGTGAAATAAACTACTTTGACATCTATCAAGGCCGTTTGGGAATGAGAACCAAAGAAAAAATACAAATATCATTAGATGTTTTTCCAATTTCGAAGACGTAGACAGCTTCCGACCCATTTTCCGATATGTTGAGATTATTGAAAATGAAAAAATTCCAAGAAAAGTTCTTTGAAGAATTTCAAAAATTCCACAAGAAATAACCATCGTTCAATATTCCCTTATAATATTCTTCCGCTGATATACTTCAAAAAATATTTTAAAAAAATATACGAATACGGAAAATATATTTCTTTTGGATGACATATCTAGAACTATCTTTGTACCCTTGCTAGAGTCCTTATAGACGATATAGCATAACAACTGACAAAATGTATGTATAACTAAATGCGTTTGCTTTTTGAGAATTCTCAGTTGTATGTTATCGTTTATTTATTTTCTGTTTCCAGACTATCCTACGAACTAAATGATAAGAGATTCCCAAAAGATTTTTTGTTTGGAGTAGCCACTGCTGCATATCAAATAGAAGGTAATGTAACAACTCATAGACAGAGAAGAAAAAGTAATTTTTTTCATTTCACGAAATAATATTCGAAATTCCAGTGAAAAATCTACCAATTATAAACGTTATCAACTTTTTCAAACTTCAGTCAGAGGAAAGAACAGAGCAACTGTATTTTCACAGACTCACGTTATTACTTATCATTTCCCAAAAAACTATTCATTCTACAAGAAAGGCCACGGTCGAATGGAACCTGAAGAAACAAACGTTTCGCTTGTTACTGCACTAGACATCATCAGTGTATATACGTTGACTACCAGGTCGAATGTTATATCTCCAAGCCCATACAAGTTAGGGGGCTTACTGTGGTGCGGTGTTAGCGATGATCTTTTCTTGTCCAAAAAATAGACTTGGTGTTTTTTTTGGAATCTGGTACAATACTGCATCAATCGAAATGAAGTTATATTATATTTCAGGTGCTTGGAATGTAGATGGTAAAGGAGAAACTATCTGGGATACTGTCTGTCATCGAAAGCCATCACCAATTGCCAATAATGACACGGGGGATACAGCTTGTGACTCTTACAACAAATACAAAGAAGATGTTGCCCTTTTGAAAGAACTGGGTGTGGATGTGTATAGATTTTCCATATCATGGGCAAGAATTCTACCAAATGGTACGTTCAATTCAATTTACGATCTTTGGAATCAACTGCACGCACTGAAAATTTATCTACACAGGACTTTCTTCAAGATGAAGTGTTCGAAATTCTCTGATGTTGGTGTTCAATAATTTAAATCAAAAGGTTATTTCAGGCATCGCACATAGGGGTATTTGTCACTGAAATTCGGACATAATCAACTCAAAAAGGTGTATAAGTTGAAACTTATATAGCTATTAAAAAAACAATTCCTATATTTATTTTATGTTCTCAAGAGAATATTTGCTTTTTTATTTCATAAAACTAGCATATTATTGATATTGAGGATGAAAACGACGGTTCATCTTAAGACTCGGCTATAAATGTCTCATCATCAATTTAATCTTTTCGAGTCATGGGGAAATAATCATTTCGAGAGTTTAGGAAAGTTTTTATTTTTCACAGTTAAGTATGTTTCATGTCAGTTACATCGGGATGAAAGGTGTCACTGGACGCCAAAGATATAGTTCCACATTTGGTTCTACTATCTGGCAAAGAATGAGAGCATAAACTTTGAGTCCATTCCTCTATCTCTGGTAATGAACAGTTTTGTGATAAGACGAATTCAAAATCGATTCACTACCGGAATTTAGAAAAATACCTCAATGTGCTTCGTGTTAGTTTTAGAAATACGATAATCAATCGGTTGTGATTGATTAGTAAGAGTCTGATTGTGTGCAGCCGATGGATACTGTGCTTGGAGATATTTTTCTCTCAAACTTTGATTGACATTTCTTCAGCCCGCATGAATATCAAACTTGCGGAGTTATTGTAAAGAATTATTTGAAACATTTAGAGATCAATTTTAGGCAACATGATGGCGAAAGTCTTTTGGTGAAAAATTAGTAGAGTTCTAATGAAAATTCCATAAAGGTAGATGAACTAAGTAACTTGTATCAAAGAGTTGACAACCTCCGCATCCATTACGTGAGTAAACTATTGAGAAAATATGTTGAAGAACCAGCTCAGCTCTGTTGAGAAAAAAAAACTCGTCAAATATTTGCATAAGGTGAAAAGCCTCGTGTTTTCAACACCCCGCCGCCGTGAGCAGCAAAGCAATATGATGAATTCCTGGTACTTTCCAATTGATTAATAGTAGAATGATTGTGTAGACAGTATGTATTCGTTTTTGAGAAAATTGGACAGCTATGAATGAAGATGTTCTGGTGAACCGTATCATCTAAGTTTAACCAGAACCAACTGTTTCAACCCAAACTCAAAGCCCAAAACTTTGGAAATATCAAGAACAACTACCATGTTTGTTTATTTCTCCAAAGGTTGCTGACATGAGAAGGAAGGGACATGAGAAGGATTTTAGCTTATCGAAACCACATTAATGATGGCATAGGATGTTGAAGCTTTCTAAATAATCAAAAATGTGATGATCAACACTTTCCTACATAATTTTTGATATCACTGCAATTGGTCGAACTCCATGTTTTCTGCAGACATGGCAAAAATGAAAAAGCCAGTTGCCTCCCAAGCATTAAGAATGCCAGTTGATTTATAGTAGTTATTTGGTAATCTATTTGTATTTTTGCTATTCTCATGAGTAGTAGTATAAATCCGCTACAAATGCAATACGGATGGCTCAAAAACCAAAGAAGGCTCAGGATGTGGAGTGTACTGCAGATCACTAAGCCTAAGGATTAAGTGGGGAATGGGAAGAAATACCAGCGTGGTCCAAACAGAACTGGCTGGTATCTCAATCGCCACAAAGGAAATAACCAAGAAAGGAATTTCTGGCAAAAACATAACAATCTGCACTGATAGCAGACAAGCACTATTAGCCTTGAACAGACAGCGTGTTACTTCAGGGCTAGCACTAGAGTGCCACCAAGATTTAGCCGAAGCCTCGTTAGATAATAACATTATCCTGAGGTGGGTTAAAGGGCACGACAGGAGTAAAGGTAATCGCATTGCCGACTCTTTAGCCAAGGAAGCGACTGGACTAAGAATTTTAGGACCCAGTGACACCCACGGCCTGATGACTTCGACAATTGCGGAACTAGTCAAATGTTACACCCATGCTCAATCTTTAAAGAGATGGGATGAAATCAAAGGATGTAACCTTGCCAGGATCACCTTGGGCGACCCTGGGAAGCTGGCGCCGAAGAAATATCTGGCGATAACCAGGAAAAATCTACGCCTTACAGTAGGATTTCTGACTGGTCACTGTCAGCTAAGGAAACACCTACATAATATGGGGCTAGTGGACACACCTCTATGCAGGATGTGTGAACAGGAAGATGAGACTGTCAAGCATGTCCTGTGCGAGTGCCCGGAGTTATCGTCAATAAGAGAGTGTGTTCGGCGAGTCTTGGACTACACCTGCCGATATAAAGGAGATGTCTCCCAGCGACCTGTCCACCTTCCTGAAAAGGACAGGATGGACGATGACCTAGGAGGACAACTCCTCGGGAGGATGTACAATGGGTCACATGTGGCCTAAGTGCGTGGGCTTACACTTACCCTCCCTACTCTACAGATACAGAGATACAGAGTAGACTGAACTCAGTGTTATTATTAGATTGACTGGTGCTTCAGCTATTCTTGTTGAAGTGTAAAAAAATCACCTACGTTTTTGCTACCTCCTGACCATTTACTACAAAGTAAACAAGTGGGAATTTTTCCAGCAAAAGATCTACAAACACAAGACGAGATAGACTGTACGGAATCATTCAATCCAAAGCGGTCAGGAGTATTGATTCTGGTATTTTTTTGCTCACGAAGAGTATTCAACAAGAATTTGGAGCAACCCTCTTGTCCTAACGAGTATAATGGACTTCAAAGACTCCAGGAAATCGGCATATTTCAATAGAGCTTTCCAAAAATGTGGCACACTTGATGTTTTATTAGAGTCATCTTTGAAATACAGAACTTCAGGTTTTCTCATTTAGACTTTGAAACTCACACTTTCATCAAGTAGTACAATATGTATATTGAACAATCAAATTTCATTTTTTTTCACTTACAAATTGACTATGCTTAAAAATCGTTTTTAATTTTTTACGCAAAAAATCGCATGTCTGACGAAAATTATTCAAGAGGTCAAATTTGCCCTAAAATGAATAGTGATTATGAAAATAGTTTTGCGGAAAATGAGTGACGTACATATTTTTGAAAATATCTAGTTTACATTAACGTAAAGTTGCCACAGGTTGAAACCTTAATTTTATGAACATGATTCAACCCTTTAGAATCAGCATCTTTAACTGAAACACCCTGTATAATGAACACGCAGAGTAAATAAGCATTGGTTCATTGGTTTGAAGGTGGTTGACAATGTTTCATGGTGCATTTCATTAGTTCAGACTTCCATTGTCTAATATGATATAAATTGATTTGAAATGCCTGAAAATATATGTGAAAAATCAAAAAGATTAGCTGAAAAATAACACTTATATCAAACAAAAAAATTGAAATTACAATGAAATAAAATATAAGTAACAACAAAATAAATGAAATATTAACACGAAATGAAAATTAAAAAAATTATCAACAAGAAATGAAAATTACAAATAGAAAGACTCCAAACCAAGATAATTCACGACGTTTCGATTGTTAGTATCCACAATCGTCTTCGGGTGATAACTGGACTTATTCCTCAGAGATCTGACTACTTATAGGTCACTCGTTTGCTTTCGCTCGAGGGGATAGGTGAAAGCACACGAGTGACCTATAAATAGTCAGATCTCTGACTATTTATTGGTCAGATCTGACGATTTATATATATGCTTTCACCTAACCCCTCGAGTGAAAACACTCGAGTGACCTATAAATAGACATATCTCTGACTATTTATATGTAATAGTCAGATCTCTGACTATAGTCAGATCTCTGACTATTTATAGGTCAAATCTGACAATTTATAGGTCACTCGTGTGCTTTCACTCGAGGGGATAGGTGAAAGCACTCGAGTGACCTATAAATGGACAGATCTCTGACTATTTATAGGTCAGATCTGACGATTTATAGGTCACTCGAGTGTTTTCACTCGAGAGGTTGGGTGAAAGCACTCGAGTGACCTATAAATGGACAGATCTCTGACTATTTATAGGTCAGATCTGACGATTTATAGGTCACTCGAGTGTTTTCACTCGAGAGGTTGGGTGAAAGCACCCAAGTGACCTATGAATAGACAGATCTCTGACTATTTATAGGTCAGATCTGACGATTTATAGCTCTGAGGAATAAGTTCAGTTATCACCTGAAGATGGTTGTGGATACCAACATTCGAAACATCGTGAATCAACTTGGTTTGGAATCTTTCAATTTCTAATTTTCATTTCTTGTTAATAATTTTTTCAATTTTCATTTCGTGTCAATATTTCATTTTTTCTTTATTTTTTATTTTTTGAGTTACTTGTATCTTATTTCATTGTAATTTCAGTTTCATTGCTTAATATAATTGTTACTTTTTCATTTAGCCTTTTTATTTTTTATTTTTCACAGATTCTTTCAGGGATTTCAAATCAATATGTATATCACACTAGACAATGGAAGTCCGAACTAATGAAATGCACAAATATGCATTTATCAAAATTTAATTTTTTTCTAAGAAATACGAATGATCTCAAAAATCTTTTTTAGGATTTGATAACAAAGTCAACGAAGCCGGCGTGACCCACTACAAAAACGTCATCAAAGAACTGCTAAAAAATAATATAAAACCACTAGTGACGTTGTATCACTGGGACCTTCCACAGGTTCTCCAAAACGCAGGCGGTTGGGAAAACGATTTCATAATCGACGCATATTTAGATTTTGCTCGAATATGCTTCAAAGAATTTGGCAACGACGTCAAGTATTGGATAACATTCAACGAACCTAAGGTAATCTGTCAGTATGGTTACGGGGAAGGATTATTTGCACCGCTGATCTACTCGCCCGGTGTTGGAGAATACTTCTGTGCTCGCAATTTGTTACGAGCCCATTCAAAAGCGTGGCACTTATACAATGACGAATTCCGGAAGGAACAAGGCGGTAAGTCGATAATATTGCAGGTTGAGATCAGATAAGAGAATTATGGTATTCATAATAATGATAATTATAACTTTTTTAATATCAGCAGATTATGAAGAATCATACTTAACACTTCCAAAATACAAATCATAAAATTATAAAACAACAACATAAATTAATTGGCGCTCCGGGGCGACTTCACTGATTCCAGTGGCGCATTTGCTTTTTCAGCTGCAGGAAAACCCGGAAAAACCTGCAGCACCACATCATCTGAAGATCTTGATCTAACAATGTGGTCTCTCTTATAAAACAAAATGTAAGGCTCCAATAAATTCAATGCATCGCCAGAACATTTTGTGACACGACTATCGTCAAACTTAAACCAGTCCGTTTCTTCTTTGACCAAGGCGTAATAATGACCAAATTCAACGCCAGAACCACAGTGAACAATGACTGCATGAATATTATAATAGTGGTCTGCTAGGTTGAAATGGTCATCTATTTCGAACCTTCCAAAGAGTTTCTTGCTTCCGTTAGAGGTTGAGTCTTGTTTGAAAATCATCAGTGTTATTATTAGATTAACTGGGGCCTCAGCTATACTTGTTTCCTTATAACAGTCAGTTAGTTTGGCACATGTTGGACAATACAGTCGATCATCACCTGTTAAAAATTCCATTTTCAGATGATTTAACAATAAGCTTTGCACGGAATGGTTATTAGTCATATTAGGAAAAGCTAGATGAAGTTCTAGAAATTCACATGAGTTTTCGGTACTTCTTGAACATGTACCACAAAGTAAACAAGTGCGGATTTTTCCAGCAAAAGATTTACAAACACAAGACGAGATGGGCTGTACGGAATCATTCAGTCCAGCGCGGTCAGGAGTATTGATTTTGCTATTGTTTGGCTCACGAAGAGTATTCAACAAGAACCCCAAGAATTCGGAACAATCCTCTTGTTGCCCTAACGAGTATCTAGTGGACTTCAAAGACTCCAGGAAATCGGTTGAAGGGAAAGATGATACCTTCTTACGAAACTGCAGCTGCATGAACAGGTGTTTGAGTTTGATGAATAAGTAGGAAACATTCCCGTTCTCGTTCATCATTTAAACTTCGTTCTTGAACTGATTTTCTGAGAGAAAATCATATATATTGCGATTTTTATACATATTCGGAAAATTATATTTCAGTTTGACCAACCTATTCCATTTTATAGGGTCGAGTGTTATATTTCATAACAAATATAAAATAACAGCAATACATTTCACATCTGTTTTCCTGAATTCATGTATCTTGCGATTTCAGACACGTTCAAGACATTGCAATATATTTCACATCTGATTTTCTGAAAGAAAATCATGTATCTTGCAATTTTTATTCACAGTCGAAAAATTATATTTCAGTTCGACCAACATATTCCATTTTATGAGATCGAGTGTTATATTTCATAACAAATATAAAATAACAGCAAAACATTTCACATCTGTTTTTCTGAAAGAAAATCATGTATTTTGCCATTTTTAGGCATATTCAAGAAATTGTTGTTGAATTTGGCCAGTATAACTTTCCGTGGAAAGTTTTTATCACACTGTTTACATTTTGCAGAATCTACATTAGCCTAATCAAAAAATGTCCAAATTAAACTCGAATTTGGTCACATTTTGTACTTATAAATCAATTCAGTACGTAACACAACACTTTTCTTTCAATAAATTATTGATGTAGCCGTTACTACGTGGAAAAATGAGAAATGAAACTTTCCATGTTTCTTAGCACTTTCATTTGTAACTATCGTTACTGAAGTTTCGTCCTATATAGACATTTTCAAAGTAATACAATAAATTTTATTGTATTAATTTGGAACTGTCTTTATAGGTCGAGACTGCAGTGACGTTAGTAACAATTAAAAGAGACTTTTCCTTCACTGTATTTATACTAAATACAAAAATGACTAGTTATTGATATATACTTGAAACTGTGGAACTTAGTGAAATACCAAAGTTGAAATATAACTTTAATAAACTTGAGAAATACAAAATTACACGTGACAGTCAAACTGTTGCAATTCAGTTCATATTCCAACAGGTATGGATTATGTTATGACTAGAAATAACGAACTATGCAAGATTCAGGAGGCGCGCGAGCGGTGAATCGAAACATTTTTTATTTAAACTTCGCCCTTATTCATGCCTACAGATGTTATGGAAATTAGAAAAATTCTTGAAGAAATTAAAAATTTGAACTCGGCTGGTTGAGATGACATGAGCATAAAAGTATTTACCAAGTTGCCCAACTCCGCTATCACCGCTTTGTTAGAAGCTATAAATACAAGCTTCATAACGGGTGTATTTCCGGCATGTTATTTCTTTTCACAAAGGAGGCGACACTGATAATCCTGCCAACTTTAGACCTATTTCTATTCTACCTACCCTTGCTAAAATCATAGAAAAACTTGTTTAACAAAGAATTATGATGTTTGTGAAAAAGCATAATACTATTAGTAGCAGTCAGTTTGGGTTTCAGAGTTTGAAAAACACGGAAGATGCTATGTTTCATCTACTGGAAAACATGTATCTCAATTTAAATAATCGTGAAATAGCAGCGGCAGTTTTTAATGATCTTTCAAAAGCTTTCGATTGCGTGGATCAAGAAATTCTGCTGCAAAAACCAGAAGTGTATGGCTTTAGAGAAATATTTTTGAAATGATTCAGATCACCTGTCAGAAAGTACTCAGAGAATCAAACTCCTGGACAACATATCCCATCTCCAGACAGTTACTTTTGGTGTTCTACAAGGATCGCTTCGAGGCCCAATTCTCTTCTTGTTATATATTAACTACCTAGCCCGCATTAATATAATCGCAAAAAAAACCCAATTCGCTGATGACACTACATTATTTTAGCACTGTAAGAATGAAAGGGAACTGCATAATTTGATCAGCATGGATATTATGAAAATAAAAGATTGCTGTGATGCTAATCTCTTGTCATATAATATCTTAAAAACTAGCATCATCACCCTCAAGTACTCCACACTAGATATCTACCTGGGTACTCAATTAATAGAAAACAAAATGTCAGCAAAATTTCTGGGACTACAAATTGATAAAAATTTGGGTTTCGAAGGTCACATAAATAACCTACGTGAATAAATTTCATCAGGATGCTTTGCAGCATGAATTGGGCACTAATATGGCAAAAAATGTGTACTTTGCTCTCATCGATTCCCATCTGAGATACGGTATCTGTTTTTGGGGAACGTGTTGACAATACATGTTTGATAGGGTGTTTGTACTATAAAAAAGAGGAATTAGAAATATGTGAAGAGTTAGATTCAGGGATTCCTGTCGATCTTTAATCAGAAAGCATAAAATCTTGACCTTGCCTTCCATACTTATATTGGAAATTTTATGTCTGGTGCAAAAAAAATACAGGACGGAAATTTTCATTTCACCACGACGAAATACCAGAAATAAGCTCAATATAGGTTTACCAATTCCAGTATCATTAAAAATTAGGAGGTCTTTCATTTATAATGGAAAAAAAATGTTTAACCATTTGCCAATTGAGATCAAAGGCATAACATGTACCACCAAATTAATAAAGTCTGTAAAAAAGCTTCGGATTTCAAAGGCTTTTTATTCTTTAGACGAATTCTATTCAGACAGAAATTTAAATTATATAAACAATTAATTTTATTGTGTTTCAGTACCTACTGGTTTTTAAACTATGTGACTTTTTTAACTTTTTGTTTAATGTTTACATTTAGCTCTGAACTGTATAGTTGAAAATGTTTACGGAGTTGATACTTACTGTTTCTATACATTCACTTTTATATTTTTATGCTTTATAGTTTTTATATTCTCATACTTACATTTATGTGTTGCATGAGAATATTCATTATTATTATTATTCATTACAATATGTAGCATATATATTATTACTTTCTGACTACTTTTTCACCCCAAAATGCTGAAATCACCAAAAGTTCAAATATTACTTCCAATTTGTATAACTTATATTCTTTAAAATAATAACACTTTTGAAAATAATATTTTATCTTCGACAATATCTTTCAAGTTGTGTACCTTATATTTTTTAGAATAGTAACACTTTGTCAATGAGATTTCATCTTCGACAATAAAGTACATTTTGATTTGATTTGATTTGAAACTATCCAAAATGTTTGTACCGGATACAATTACGGATATATTTTTATTTCGCTTTTTAACTATTATTATTACAACACATTTGAAAATCACCAAATGTCCGATCATTAACTTAAACTTCTACCTCAGGTCAAGTTGGAATTACAATAGACTCCTATTGGTACGAGCCTGCCACAGACAGTCCAAAAGATAAGGAAGCTTCAGAAATAAAACTTCAATTCAGCGTAAGTATTTGAAAATAATATATAGATAGATAGATATTTTATTTGACCACAATATGTATACACATTTGTAGCAAGTCGCAAAGAATACACCATTTGAAGTTACACAATACGAAAAAAAATACATATATACATATATACACCTATACACACTTACACATATACAGTGCTTTTCAGATAAAAGTATCCACCTTTAATAACTTTTGTAATACTGGTATTCAGGAAAAATCCAAAAACACGTCAATTTATGTTGGAAGGGGCAAGCATTATGACTTATTTAAACTTACTGGAAAAACCACCCCCTCACCCCTAGCATCATCCCTTTTTTTTTAAATTACTTATCATATTTTTTATGTAAAATTTCGATACTCCTCTTTGAGCTGATTTCAAAAATGTATAATACTTGTAGGTTAAAGTGGTTAGTTTATGAGATAAACAATTTTTCTTTTAATAGCACAAATTTTACTTATGGGGGTATTTAAAAACAAAAGTTTATGCTACCCAACCAGAATCTCTGGATGATTTACGAGAGAGGATAGAAAATGAATGTCGACAATTAAATCCAGCCGTATTAAGCAATGTCAGAGAGGCATTTCAAAATAGATTATACCATTGTATGGAAGTGCATGGTACTCATTTTGAACACTTATTGTAACTTCATAATAAATAGCACAGTTAAAAAGATTGAAGAGTTTGAACTGTTGTACAACCCATTTTATTACAGGCAAATAAGGTGAAAGTAAAAAATAAGTAAAATTTGTGCTATTAAAAGAAAAATTGTTTATCTCATAAACTAACCACTTTAACCTACAAGTATTATACATTTTTGAAATCAGCTCAAAGAGGAGTATCCAAATTTTACATAAAAAATATGAGCAGTAATTTAAAAAAAAAGGGATGATGCTAGGGGTGAGGGGGTGACTTTTCCAGTAAGTTTAAATAAGCCATAATGCTTGCCCCTTCCAACATAAATTGACGTGTTTTTGGATTTTTCCTAAATACCAGTATTACAAAAGTTATTAAAGGTGGATTCTTTTATCTGAAAAGCACTGTATACATAAATACGTGATAGATGAGTTACAAATACAGTTAAAATAACAATTAGACCTTGGAGTAGAGATATCACAGCAGGTGAAGAGAATAAAAGTCATAGCGGGATGATCACTCACATGTCAACTCATTATTTATATAATTCAGTTAGCAGTTCTCAAATTCATCGAGAGAATAGAATGCGTTGTTATTGAAAAATGCTTTAATTATTCTCTCGAACTTGTTTTTACTCAGATTTTTAATGTGGGCGGGAAGTTTATTGAAAAGGTTCAATTTTTAGTCGAGGTAGTGAGTCTGTATCGCGGATTGATCAACTTATTATTGTTTCTTGTATTATAATTATGCGTATCGGAGTGAGTTTGATAGATACCGATTTGTAACAGGAAATAAAAAATATACGCTGAATATGGTGACATAATTTTAAATTCATTAAAGTAGTTTCTACAAGATTCCTTATATTCCACACAAGCTAATATCCATAAGGCCTTTTTCTGTATTCGGAGAACTTCAAGTGAGAGACTAGAGTTTTACCATAGTCGTATACCATAAGTAATGTATGAATGGAACAGAGAAAAGTAAGATATTCTCAATGCTTCGAAACTGGTTACTTTTTTCAGTTGTCTTAGGAGATATAGTTGACTAGAAAGTTTAGAGCACAGTTGGTCAACATGACAGTTCCATTTCAAAGAGTTATCCAAGGTTATACCCGAAAGTTTAAATTACTTTGATGAGTTCTCACGGCATTTAGTTGAAATGGAAATCCTTTGGTATTTATTAGAATTTTGTTTCAATTTGTTTGTTAAAAAATATTCTTCCGCTGTACACTTCACCAATTCTATTGAATTTGACAATATTTGCTTATCAACATATGACTCATATATGGTTACATCGTCTGCAAACATCATGCATGATGACGGTGCCAAGTTTTGCGGTAGGGCATTAATATATAAAATGAATAGGAGAGGACCTAATACAGACCCTTGGGGTACCCCATATTTAATCACCACTTTATTAAATTTTCATAAAAGCGCAAAATTTGCTTCACTATACAATAGTTTGCTTACATAATGAAGTGTTACTTGAATACCTAAAAACAATTATCGCCAATTGCATAAAATAAAAATAATATTGTTATGAAACCTGGATTTCAAAAAGAACGCTTCAATTATCTTAAGAATAAGATGAAGTTATATTAGCCTGAAATGTGATCTGGGAATTGAAAAAGATTATCATTTTTCTACAGTCTTCAAAAGCACTATGTGACTGAAAGATCTGGTAGAAAAGAGACTATGATTTGAGATATGATTTTTCTATGTGGATTCAGAGTGAAATAGAAGAACAATGAGATTTTCATCGTTCTTCTGTTTGGAGATGAATCTATTTTTACAACAAATGGGGTTCTATCATCACAAAATTGCAGATGGTGGTCAGATGTCAACCCAAATTTCATTATTGACAACAGAAATCACTACTATCAGAAAACAAACGTTTGGTGTGGTATATTAAATGATAAATTACTAGGTCCGTTTTTTTTTTCGCGAGAATTTGAATGCCTGCAGGTACTTGAACTTTTTGGAAACAGAAATAGGAGAGATTTTGGATGATATAGTATTAGAAGAACGACAAAAGTTATGGTTCCAACATGACGGTTGTCCTGCTTATTCTACTAGAAATGTTTCTCAGTGACTGAATAGGACAATTCGTAATAAATGGTTAGGCTTCCTCGATCTCCAGACCTTACACCTCTAGATTATTTCTTATGGGGATACTTAAAACAAAAAGTCTACAAAGATCGCTCCTTATATAATGTTGATGAGCTTGAAACGTCAATACGAGTTCATTGCAGAAATATTTCCGCTAATGTGTTGCTATCTACATTAAACGAATTTTATGAGCGGACAATTAGATGAATCGAAAGAGAAGGTGGACATACAAAGACGCTTCGATAATTTTTATTGTTAGCACCTGTTAAGTTGTAAAGTTACCCACAGTATTTTTCTGTACTATCGCTTATTGGTTCTTTTTTGTTTATTCATATGAACATTATACTCAGTAAAGTATTTGCCTCGTTAAAAAGAGTATTTGTTTTATTCTAGAGTTCTGTTAAATATCGTTGCAACAAACATGAAGTTGACGGTCACTTAAAAAAAATACAAATCCAAGTAAATTTTACAAATACACTTTAATTTGATGAAAAATACTCCAAACTGATTTGATTGTGGCTACTTCAAATACATATTGAATCAAAATAGTAAAAATAAGTATCATACGGGGGTAATTCAAAATTTTCCAAAAGAAAAAAAAATCGAGTTGCAGGCCATGACTTCGCATCTGAACATAACTTTTAATTCTAAGTAACTTTTCTCTTTAACATATTTCTATATTTTTTGAAATAAGGGTACTTTACTCTTGAACGAACTGTATATTTTTTGGCCTATCCTGTACGGTGTTTGTCATAAAGCCATTTCAGGTACACTTGCTATAGTTTTGGAACATGTACCAACTTTATCACGAATAAAATTTTCTGAGAAATCAATAATAAAAAAGTTTCCCATATGTTGCACACTTAGTGGACCACACTGTATAGTATATCTAACACATAAAGATTTATTTTAGTATGGATGGTTTGCTAATCCAATAATCAACGGCGATTGGCCAAGACAAATGAAAGAAAAAATTGATGATCGCAGCAAAAAACAAGGATTTCACAAGTCGCGTCTTCCGCCTTTCACAGAGCAAGATATAGAGTATATGAAAGGCAGTACGGATTTCCTTGGACTCAATACGTACACATCATATATGGTGAAACCGATGGATAATCCAGATAAGGACGGCATGGGACCGAAATATGACAGCGAAGTTGAAGAATGGCAACCGGATGAATGGGAAGGTTCCGCCTCACCCTGGTTGAAGGTAATTGCTTGAAAAATCTTTTGTCTACTCCCACTTCATTGAACAATATGAATAAATTGATGGATGTATCCGGATGGATGGTGTTTAATGTATAAGTTTGAAAATGTCCTTATAGGACGAAACTGCAGTAACGTTAGTTACAAATAAGAGTGGTAAAAAACATAAAAAGTTTCAATTCTCTTTTCTTCAGAATAATATGACCTAATCATAGTTATTCCAAAACAATATAACAAAAACATTCTTGCATTACTGTTTTGATATATGTATTGATATAAAAATCGAGATTTGCGTGCCTTTACTTCACTCTCAAATAAAAATTACGCATACAAATAGTTTTGCTATGGGGTTATATGAATAAAACTCCCATCATGTACTATGCTGGATATGATATTGGTCCAGTTTTCTTAGTCAAAATTAGGTAAGCAACTCCTGAAAGTTGTCTCAAAACCTACATATAGTGGGTGAAAAGTAAGGTCTGTGGTCCCAAAAATATGAACCGATGTTTCGAACCGCAAAGCCGGACGATCGATTTTCACTTCCTATCATTTAACCCCTGCTAGGAACCACACGTTGAAAGGTGAGAACTCGGTACTCCTCAGTTCGCACAAGTTTCGCCTTTTGACAGTTGTCGTTCGTAGAGGTCCGACAGCTGGTTAACGAAAAACATATTTTAAACAGGCAGATTGAAATCACTGAAATAAAAGGAGACGTATTTTACTGTGAAATATGAAAAATTCCCCATCTGTTTGAGGATTCGGCAGTATTCAGGAGCATTTCTACACTTATTTAAGGTATTCTCGGGTGCAAATACCTCTTGTCTTTCTATACTGAAACATTGAATGAAATTATATAAATTTTAAAAACTAAAAAACACGCTTTTAAAGAACATCGAACTGAAAAGGTAAATATAATTTTTTTAAATAATCTTAAAACAATAACCAACGAAAGGGGCGCTTGATATAAAAAAATATGGCACAAAGCGCCCACGCTTTTTCACAATAATACTAGTATTTTCGTTCGTTATTGTTCTAAGGTTATTAAAAAAAATATTTACAACTTTTAGTTCGATGCTCTTCAAAAGCGTGTTTTTCAGTTTTCTAAAATTATATTTATTTTATCTGAACTTTGGGATCAATCAGCCGTATACTGTTTAGAAAAATGACCATTGATATTTTCGGTAACGTACAGCGCCATCTGCCCGCGAATAGATAAAACAATAATGTCGATAATTCTGTCAAATACGGATCCCGTGCTTGAAAGTTACAAGCAAACTGATAAAGAAACAAACATACATACAGGTGAAGCTAATATAAAGCGTGTAATAAAGTTAACTTTTTTTAACGGGGAACATAAAAGTGATACTCAAATTATTTCTGATACACTTATCCTGCATGCTAAGAACTCGAAACAAAACAAATCTGTCAAAAAAAATATTTGAATTTTTTCAATTGTAGGTGACACCATGGGGGACACGAAAGTTACTGAAATGGATAAAAGATGCCTACAATAATACTCCAATCTTGATTACAGAAAATGGATATTCTGACAATGGAACTTTAGAAGACGACAGGAGAATAAATTTCTACCAGGTACCATCGTTATCACTTAATTTTTTCATTTTATATATAATGCAGATATGATCAAATTTTCTTTCATTCATTTAGTAGCGTAGATTGATATTTCATGGTATTTGATCATCAAAAAGTAGTTTTTCGAAATGATTTTGATACAAACACCAGAACTTCTACACTTTTTTCGACGCGCGTTTCGCCAACCAAGTTGGCGTCTTCAGGAGGTTAAGTCTACTTCATCTGAGATTCTTATTTTCACTTAATTGCACTTTCATTCTTGCTCTTTGGTGGTTAAAACTTCAATTTCACCATCAACGCTGGTGTTCTCCAGGGATCCATATTGTCTCCCTCTTTTCACTGTATATCAACGACTTATTGTAAAAAACCAAAATTGATTTCGAATTGGGGAGAAAGTAACCAGGTTCAATTCAATGCCACAAAAACGTCGATTCAGATCAGTAAACTGAAATCTGTTGGAAGTAACTATCACTAAATCAGCACTCGTCTTTGCAAATATCGTAGCAAGAACGACGGACGGAAACAATTCCGGATTTGGCAAGTACTTTGGACTAGGGTTTGTAGCCGCTATTTCAATTTCGTATATAAGAACATAGAATTTCACGGCCAGAATTACGATTAGAGAGAATTTGATCTGGACTGACAGAGCGTGGTTGAATGGAACTCATATTGCCAAACGTTTCGGCTGCTATTGTAGCAGTTATCCTCAGTGTTTCACACCCAACGCCTGAATGTTGATTCAATATGTGACAAATACGTTCTTTTGACTTGTTCATAACCTCTGTTATTTCTCTCACTTTGATTCAGCTGAATTCATATCCTGTTAGATAAATGTTTATGAGTGATTCTTATATGATATTATGTTATTGATGACCCTAAATTGGAAAAAAAATACTTCTAAACATTATTTTGAAGTATACCGTGATATGAGTGATTCTAATGTAATATTATGTTGTTGATGACCCTCAATTAGAAAAAAAAATACTTCTAAACATTATTTTGAAGTATACCGTGACATACAGTGTGACCCATTTTTAATGGAAACATCCCCCTAAAATTTGAAGTTGTAAACCGATTTGAATAATTTTTTTTTGAAACGTCAAGTACTAAAAGGTCTACCTTGGGACAGAATTTGAAATGTTTATTAAAGTTTCAGGGCATACTACGATATTTTTTCTTAGTCGAAAATCGGGATTTATTAGCGATTTTTTTATTGAAAAAAATCACTACGCCACTGGATTCAGAGTGCCTCTAAACAGGTGTGACCAAAATTTCATGAAAAAATATTCATTATTAACAAAGTTATGACAACTCAAAAATTCGAAAACTCACACAGCTAACAGTCACAAAAACACGCTATATCAAGAGATATAGCCATGAGAATATTTTTTTATGATTTCAACAATAAAGTGCCGCCAGATGAAAAAAAAACAAATAGCGTAAATATTTTTAAAGAAAATAACTGAATTACATTCAAATTTTCACGCAAATTAACTAAAACTAAGACCTAATATTTCATAGAGTTTTGGGATGCTATTCACGAGCTGCCAATCAATGAACGATCAAATTTAATTGTCCAGTTAGATGGGTGTTCAGTTCATTATGCCAGAGCTGTGAGGCAATGGGTTAACGAACATTTTCCAAACCGATGGATAGGCCGTGGTAGTCCGTTTATAGAGTGGCCACCCAGATCTCCAGACCTCACAGTTTTGGACTTTTTTTTGTAGGGACTTCTCACACAAAAGGTTTACAAAAACCGCTCAAGATACAGAAATGAACTTTGTGCAAGAATTCGACAGGTATGTGCAGATATTAGCCCTCAAGAACTAAGGAACGTAATCAGAAACATTCGTAAGCCCTACGACACATGTATTGAAATACATGGTAGATTAGTAGAGGCAACTAGAATATGAGTTAGAATTAATTGTTGCACTGCATCGAAACATATCAATAATTAGTTATTAGTTACGTTTAATAAAATTTTTTGCTTCATTGTTAGTTGAATTGTGTGAATGTAATTCCGTTATTTTCATTGAAAATATTTACGCTTTCTGTTCTTTTTTTCATCTGGCGGTACTTTATTGTTGAAATCATAAAAAAAAATGATATATTGTGACTGTTAGCTGTGTGAGTTTTCGAATTTTTGAGTTGTCATTACTTTGTTAATAATGAATATTTTTTCATGAAATTTTGGTCACACCTATTTAGACGCACTCTGAATCCAGTGGCGTAGTGATTTTTTTCAATAAAAAAATCGCTAATAAAAAATCCCGATTTTCGACTAAGAAAAAATATCGTAGTATGCCCTGTAACTTCAATAAACATTTCAAATGTTGTGCCAAGGTAGACCTTTTAGTACTTGACATTAAAAAAAAAAATATTAAAATCGGTTTACAACTTCAAATTTTAGGGGGGTGTTTCCATTAAAAATGGGTCACACTCTATATTATAACTATTTCCAAATATTATTTTGTCATGAGCCTAGTTTCGAGAGAAATTGATTTTGTGCATCGTCCAAAAATTTTAAGGATTTCATTTTGAACTAAAATTCATGCTAAGTATATCTTATCACTGAATAATGATTATAATAATGATAGAAATAGTGAAGTGGAAACATTTTCAAAATGTAGATTGCAATGCCATTATTATTCGAATGCTTATGAAAAATAATGAGGTGAATACAATGTACTTCAGTGATTGGGGTCAAGTTTGTTGAAGGTTGAGTGTTCAATTTTTCATAAATATCATATAGGCATAGCTGAACGGGACAATTAAATTACAGAATTGAATGACTGCCTTTTCGAGATAATTTTAAATATGATTTTTTAGTACGAACAGTATGAAATAAAAGATAACTAATGAAAAAAATAGTTGCAACAGTTTTCTTTCGCCTGCATCCTATATGAGTTTAAAAAATAATGACAAGAATTAATGCTTTCCAACAGGGCTATTTGAGTAATATACGTGATGCAATGGAAAAAGATGGTGTTAATGTATTTGGCTATACGACATGGAGCTTTATGGATAATTTTGAATGGATGATGGGATATTCGTAAGTATTTGAGGATCGATGTAGTGATATACAGGTAAGACCTACAAGGTCTGTTAAATTGGACGAAAGGACAACAAAACACTGGACAACAAAATCGGACTTTTTTTTGTTGCATGAGATTTTTCACCTGTTGTTTACTAATTCAGGCTCGCTCATTTGAAATTTACTTTTTCATGCAGCTCTAGCAGCTCTAGTTCAGGAGATACAGGTACCCCCTTTGAATATACTCTCTATTTGAATATTGATATCGCTATCGTCAACATCTTACTAGTTTCTGTGTCTTTTTGTATGGCTTGGTCTAGAAGGACCTGTGTAACAATCCAAATAGATTTTGTGTGTCGAATTTCATGAAAAAAGCCTGCATAGTGTACTTTCAACGGCCATTGGAAACAAACAACAAGCCCTGGATACCGAATATAGTATGTGAAACGTGTGTGAAGTCTTTACGATTATGGGAAAATAACAAGAGGAATCCCTTGAACCTCATTAGTCCTATGAATTTACGTGAACCGTCGAACCACCACGACGACTGTTATTCCTGCGTTGTAAATATAACAAGAATTAACCGCCAAAATAATTCCACGTAACTGTGCCGTCAGTTACTAGACCTGTCCTGCGTTCAATTAATACATTAGAACCCCAACCAAGTACATCTCAGGTACGTCCGCACAAAATTGTTCAACGAATCGAGGAAAGTGACAGAAGCTGCGAAGACAGTGGCAGCGAATTTGAAGACGCCAGAAGATCAAGACCATTCAACGAAGAGGATCTAAATGATTCAATATGAGATCTCGGGTTGTCTTAAGCTTCATCAGAACTTCTAGCTTCTCGATTGGAAGAGAGAAATTTGGTCACCAAAGAAACGAATGTCTCATTTTACCATACCAGGAAAAAAATTACTCTCTTTGTTTTCTAAGGATGATCATTTTGTTTTTTGCAGAAATATTTCGGGATTAGTGGCTGAAATGAGATTGGAAAGATACGACCCTAATGATTGTCATTTGTTTATAGACTCGTCGAAACGCAATCTCAAATGTGTACTTTTACATAATGGCAATAAACTTGGATCTTTGCCAATTGCTCATTCAACCAAAGATAAAGAAGAATATTTCTCAATACACAGAACACAACTGGCTTATATGCGTGGAATTGAAGATGATTAATTTATTTTTGAGCCAACGAAGCGGTTATACAAAATATCCGTGTTTTATTGGCTTGTGTGACAGCAGAGCTAAAACTGAGCATTGGACCAGAAAAGATAGGCCGCTTAGAGACGAATTAATTGATACAAGGAGAGTTTAATGTAATACACCACTCCTCTAGTGCCTCGGGAACGTATACTATTAACTCCTTTACACATCAAACTAGGATTGATGAAACAGTACGTGAAGGCTCTAAACAAAGAGGCGAAATGTTTTCAGTATAAATCCAGATCGTTTCCAAAATTGAGTGCTGAGAAGTTAAAAGCTGAAATTTTCGATAGGCCACAAATTAGAAAATTAATAAACGATGACAATTTTACTGGAAGTATGATAACCGCTGAAAAAAATGCCAGGAATGAGTTTGTTCGACTCGAAAAAAAAAATTTTGGGAAATACGAAGTCCGTCGACTTTCCTGACCACGTCAAGCAGTTATTATTATACTTTCAGCAACTTGGATGCATTTTGAGTATCAAGATACATTTATTTCATAGCCACCTAGATCGATTTCCTGAAAATCTTGGAGATTTATACGAGGAGCAGGGAGAACGCTTTCATCAGGATATTCGCACCATAGAGGAGCGCTGACTACTGTTGGATCATCCAGAATAGTAGTAACACTTCAAATCATTCAAGAAAGTCACATAAAAAAGTTCTGCTCTAAACCATGTTCTTTGATAAAAATAACTACCCTTCATATCTCAAAAAGTAGCGCTGCTGGCAAAAATCTGAGTACAGATTTGGAATCAGGGTAGTAAATGTAGCTAGATCCAAACACTCGATGAAATGAAAATGCTGTTGTGCAGTGTTATTGTTTCATATTTTTTATGATTTGATATCAACCAATTTGCTATGCGACGTTTCGTTCATTAAATTCCATCATCAACTTTACTTTTCGAATGCGAATCTCTATTTTTTTCAACGATTTTGTAGCTACTGAAATATCAAATTCAGCGGTATGTATTATAATATAGGTCGGTATTGAAAAACTTAAGTTTATAATGAAATCTAATGAACGAATCGTCTCATTGTAAATTGGTTTATATAAGATCAAAACAAAATTGAAACAGTATAGAAAGTTCTTCTGCCTTCTTTATATCGTTCGAAATCAAGGCGGCAGAGCCAAAAAAACGAAATTCGACAATTCTAGTTTTGGGCGAATATTTCGTAAACAACCACTGATATTCTGGATCTGATCTGGATTCGAATGTTGAATGGAATCAAAGTTCATTCTTGATTCGAGGATAAAATGATGAGGATGATCATTACTTTCCAAAACAGCGAAACTGCCTACGTGAAGTTCGTGTCTTATGGTTATGATAACCCAATAGTTCAAATCATTTACTGATGGAAACTTGGTTGATATAATTATGAGAAAACAATATATCGCAGATATTTTGTCTGGTAGAGCAATTTTCAAAATATTATTATAAGTCGATGGATATTTCTGGAATACTTTCACCATCCATGCTGCTGTTCCCCAGGGATCCATATTGTCTCCAACGTTCTTTCTATTGTATATCAACGACTTATTGGAGAAAACCAAGAATCCAATAAATTGTTTTGCTGACGACAGCACACTTGTCTCGTAATTCTCTTCGGATTCCAGGACATCGCTTTTCTCCAAGAAGATAAATGTCTCCGAACCGGATATAATGACAGGTCAGACAATTCCGCTTTCTGCTTCGATAAGTTGGTTGGGGGTTAAAACCAAACCAACATGTCTTGGCACAATAATGTCACTGGAATTGCAACCAGAACCAGAAAACTGTATACACCTCAATAACTTTAGATGCTTTATAAAGCTCAGATCAGACCTTCTTTGGAGTATTGTTCTCATGTATGGAGCTCCGCCACAAAAAATATCCTGAAGTTGCTGGATTCCATCCACAAAAGAGTCATCAGCCTGATTGGAGATGCGAACATCACGTGCAACTTTGATAGCCTGGAACATCGAAGAAAGGTTGGAGATTTGTCTCTCTTCTATAGATACTTTCAAGGAAGGCGTTCCAAGTGACTTGGCACATTTGATTCCACCAAGAGCGGTATATATCAGAAATACGCGACACACTGTGGCTGCTCATCGTTTTGAGGTTTAACTCTGTAAACCTCGAACTTCACTTTTGAAGAACCCTTTCATTTCGACAACTGTGTTCATGTGGAATAAACTCCCAGATCGCTATTTTCGCACAAGCACTGAGAGTGCCTTAAAGATTTTTCTGTAGTGCTTGTGTTTTGTACAGAAAAAGCATTTTACTAGATCCTGCGAATTACGATATTTATACCTTTACTAACATTATAATTTATTTATTTTTCAGTCAGAGATTTGGTTTGATTCATATCGATTACGATAGTCCCGAAAAAACCAGAACTAAGAAAAAATCAGCATATTGGTTTAAGAATATGATAAAAAGAAGATGTGTTGCAGAAATTTGCAAAGAATAATTGCATTAGTATTTAGGCATTTCGAATGACCCAAACTCATACGAAATAACACCAATATCACTAAATATCTCTATACAAGCATAGAAATATAGGTTTTTGAAAGAGTAAATGTGTGAACAACCTGTGAATGGAAAAACAAAATTTAAATTGCAGGTTTTCACGTAGAATTTTTTTGTGTTGTTAACGTTAATTAATCACACCTACATGATTGTTTGAATGCTTCAGCAAAAACCTCTTTGAATAAATGTAATTGTTAGAAAGTCAATAAAATTTATTTGAACATGACATTTGTTATTTCATTCACGTCACCTCTCTTATCGGAAAGCACAGAAAATCAATATCTCTCTACGGAAAGAGTGGAGATACTTTTAAACTGAAGAAAATGAGAATATGATAATCCATTAAAACAATAATAATCATTGATTTAATGGTCTCTTTTGAAATAACTTGTATACAAAAAGATTAAAATCGTAAAGAAATATAGGTATCAGAATGATGAAGACATCATTGAAAAAATAAAATTGCTTGAATTTTTAAAACGATTTTTCTGATTGATTCGACCGTTACTTGATGAAGATCCATAGTGATATCATAAATCACTGTTGAAGAAGCTACTGCGAAATATGTCGTGATATATTTTTCAAATAAAATTTGTGGAGATCAAAGCGTGAGGAGTAGTTTATGAAATTTTAAAACGAACTGTATAAACGCTACAAAAAAATTAAGAAACACTGCAAAGATGTTATGAAACAAAGACACTTCGTGGCAAGACCTTGATGATCCTAGATTTTTCTTGAGTATTGTAGTTGTCATATATAGTACAATTCCCTAATAGTAGGCACTGAATTCTCAGAAATATTATTGGATTGAAACGAAAACTTTATTGTCAAGGTTGTGATATTTTATCATCATTTTACTCATTTGTCACTGAAAGAAACATATTAAGGCAAAAACGTCTGTCATTTCTTAGAATTCAGTTCCTATTATTTTGGAATTGAAGTATAGTGATGACAGCTATTTAGAGATAAAACATTTCAAAACCTAGTGGAGTGAGAATTATTAACAAGAAAAAACACGATACAAAACAGGAACTACAAGGTTACTGAATTCAAAGTTATTGGCAGAACGATTTACTCATACCCAGGAACAAGAAAGGAAATTGTTGTTGCGATGACTTTTGAAGTCATCAGCCAAACCTCTTGAAAAATGAGCATTTTTTACATAACCTTGACTGACTCTAACGGTGAGATAACGATAGGAAATATACAGTGTGTCAATTTGAAAACTTACAATGGGCTATATATCACGAACGAAAGCTGATATCGAAAAATGCTTGAAACCGTTTCTAGGATAGTAATGCGAAACTAAAGTGACATGAAAGAGAACTCACCCCCCATCAACCCCCTAGGCTCCACCCACCAAAACACAAAAAGTTTAAATTGCAAACCCCTAATTGTGATACATCATTGGAAAGACTATAAAGAATGCTAGCCAATGGTATAACTAATAATTTTACAGGGTGAAGAACTAAATGTGAAACTTTGGCTTGAATGGAATATTTAATGAGGTTTTTGTTGAACTCCAAATTCATTGAAAATGTCAATTAAGTAAATTTTCAAAGGGGTTTCCGTTGTTTTGTAAACAATAACACAGCCTATTTTCCAATTCTGCACGAACTTTGGGAAATGTTGTTCTAGTAATGACGCGACATGCTTGCGTAATTCTTTCTCGCAATTCCCCAAGTGATGCAGGTTGAGTTTTATAAACAACTGACTTGAAGTGACCACTCAATGGGTCCTCTCCATCCAATCCATTTGTTCGGATAATTGGTATTCAACCAGTGCCTAACTGGAACTGCATAGTGGGGAGATGCTCCATCTTGTTGGAAGTGCAGCAAATCTTCGTCTACAGCTAGATTGCTTTGGTCGTCCTTGTGGTTCTCTAATTCATGCACAATTAAAGGTTCGATGGTGTTTTCCAGCATATCGAGATAAATGTCGCCACTTAAATTGCCTGGTATGAACAAGGGACCAATTATAGCATCGCCTGATATTCCTGCCCAAACTTTCTAATCCAGTCATTTAAGCTGAAATTAGGTAAGAATCTCGGAATTCGAGATACCCAGCTGTAAGTCTGTAAAAACTTGTATATTGACACCCTAAAAGTTGTCTCAAAACCTACATATGGTAGGGTGTAAGCAACTATTGGATTTCAAGGTCAAAGCTCACAAAACAATTTGAAAGTAATCTTGAAGAATATCTTCAATATGAATTGAGTCCGTATCCAATAGCTCTATTTGATAATGATAATGACAACATGAGCCCAATTGATTTTGTTCTCAATGAAAATAATGTGACGTTCATTATTGATGGCGGATTTCTTCTTCATCATGTTGTATGGAGCAGAGAAGATACTTTTTCTATTATTTTTGATAAATACATGAATTATTTACAAAGGCATTACAGTTCCAAAATAATTGTTGTATTTGACGGATATTCAGACTACAATAAGAACGTAAAAGCTATGGAGCAGCAGAGAAGACCTGCTGCACTTTCAAAAACGTATGAAGTTTGTTTCGATGAAACAATGGTTGTACTAGTTACTCAAGAAAAATTCTTATCAAATCGAAATAACAAAGATAAGTTCATTAATATGTTGATTGAAAAATTACAAGCAGCAAATATTACTACTAAACAAGCCAGAGATGATGCGGATGTTTTTTTTGTTGAAACTGCAATTGAAGAATCAAAGTCTAAAAAAACTGCAGTTATAATAGGACACTGTCTTACGAACAAGAAATTTTCTTTAAAAAAGTTGGGAAAGGTGATGTTGAAACGGAGATATACTCGACTAAAAGTTTTGATAATTATCCTCATTCTAAAAAACATATTTTATTTCTGCACGCATTAAGTGGCTGTGACACAACTTCTGCGCTTTTTGAAAAGGAAAAAAAATCATTTTCAAAAGTTTTTGAGAAACTGACAAATTTGGATGAACTAGCTGCAGCATTTGAGGAAGAAAATTGTTCGGCCCAGAGATTATTAGAGAGTGGAACTCAAACTTATTGGCAGTCTATAATGCTTCGAAATCTGTGAAAAGTCTCGATCATCTTCGTTATATGCATCACGTCAAGTCTACAAAATCTAATAAACCTGTGCAGCTTTCAAATATTCCACCAACAAGTGCAGCTGCTCATCAACATTTCAACCGTGTATATTATCAAGTTCAAACTTGGTTAGGACATGATTTGGAACCCCAGGTATGGGGTTGGGCAATGCGAATTAGTTCTTGAAGAATTTGTGTTTTGTACGGGGAGAAACTTATGTAATTTCAACACCTTCCTAACCGACTCATGTGAAACTCCTGTCACTGCAGATGCTTGACGTGTTGACGCAGTAGGCTCCATTGCAAAATTTCCAAGGACCTCAATTTGGGTTGCTTCATTCAGTAATCTTGGGGCATTCCTTTTTTTATTTTGCACTGATCCCGCGGACGTACACGTGACTTACATTTTTGTCCGGATGCCTTTCATGAAATATTTGAGCTGTTTTTAAATGACACTGATTCTAGGAGGCAAATATGAAAATTATCTCCACGTGCTCAGGTATACTGTAAACCATCGTGACAACTAGAGCTGAATTACAGTACAGATCGTACAAATGATGAAAACTAATGACATTTAAGAGTCTAAAACAAACCAAAAATTATTGACTCTGACAGAACCTAAAAAACAGATCTTTTCAACTTGTTTTGCAAAAACGACAGACACTTATCATTTAAAATAATAGTCCGGGAAATAGCATTACGAAAAAAAAAGTCAATGGAACCCACATGAACAAAACAATGGAACCCACTTTGAACATTTACTTAATTGACATTTTTAATGAATTTGTAGTTCAACAAAAACTTTATTAAAATTCCATTTAAGCCAAAGTTTCACAATTATTCCTTCATCCTGTATTATTATCTTTTATACCGTTGGATAACATTTTTTATAGTCTTTTCAATGATGTATCACAAGTAGAGGTTTGCAATTTAAACTTTTTGAGTTTTGGTGGGTGGGGCCTAGGGGGTTAATGAGGGTGAGTTCTCTTTCATGTCACTTTGATTCCCCCTTACTATCCTAGAAACGGTTTCAAGCATTTTCCGATATCAGCTTTCGTTCGTGAGATAAATCCCTTTGTAAGTTTTAAAATTGACACAGTGTATATGTACCAATATATTCAACGTATTGCAATTGGGTATTTGTACATTTCAAAATAAACATTTTCATGTTTTCTCAAACAATTTCTTTAGATGAAATCAAATAGATTTCAAATACTTGACGGATTAGGAAAAATATTCACAAAAACAAATGGTTTATGCACTATGGAGATACTTCTTTACAGATCGTTGCTGAATGTTTTCAATCTGGTGCACCAAAAAAACTTAAGTACTGATGGCGACTCGCTTTTGAGCCAGAAACGCTATATTGCTAATCATGTCTAATCCCAAATTGTAAATGTTTGCGGAAGAATTACAGAAATGGAAATGGATATTATTCATCTCAGTCACAAACATTGAAAAAATGAAGGTAACAAATTTATTACGAAACTGTGGAAATGACTTCAATCAAAAGCAGACCCATTTCGCAGTATAGTCAAAGTGAGAAGACTATGAATTTACAATTAGTATTATTTCGCTTATGTATGAAATATCTTATCGTATGAAATCTAGTGAACTTTGGCACTTCTACATACTTTATCAGTATATCACGAAATTGATAATGAATATCAAGAATAAGAATCCATTACTACGTACCTAACAAAGTTCATTATCTACAGTTATTATCGGATCTCAGAATGCTATTTACTCCAAATAAAAAACTGATATGAGATAAGTTGGGAAGTGAGAAAATAGAGACATCTCTTTTGCCTATTTTCGAAGGTTATTATAGGAGACTTAATCCTAAATATATAATTACGTTACCGAAATAACTGCACAGAAGAGAAGAGACAGTTCCTTATTTCCCTCTTCTATCTTGACAGCGATTACTTACCTGAAACAAATTGAAAAAAGAAATATTAGTGATATACCATCTATCTGGTAGATACTTCCATCATTCGTATCCCACTTTATTCAAAATTCTGAAATACCACAAATGTAAATACTCCAAATACACCCTTAAACATAATGTTATTTCTCATGATTACTACATAAATAACACACCTCTTCAAATAAACACTCATCAAAGGGATCTTGGTGTCACATTTGACCCCAAACTGAGTTTCTCCATCCACTATGAC